GCTGGCTTCTGGCGTGTCCCAGACATTGGGCCTAAGGACGGATGGGGTACCAAGAGTGAAGATGCTGGCAACGCATACCATCAACGAAACAAGCATGGACCCCAGTACCCCTTCCTTGGAATTAGCACCCCTTCCAGGAAGCCATTCAGGACGGACACGCTGCAACCAAGAGGAGCAGAGCATCATATTATACACAAAGAGAGCGCCGCAGGGATGACTTCCTGTCAAACAGGAAGTGGATCTACAGTGAAAGTACTGCCTCTTCAGGGAAGCTGGCATCGTGGACCAGTGGTACCCTTAGAGGTGGACAACACACAGAGGTGAGCGAACACACGTGACACATACATGGGGAGACGAGCACACACTCAGCTCAACCATCCACCCAGGTGTGCGGACACCGACTCTAGTTCCTGGGTGCTTTAGGGCCAGATTTGATACCTAAAAAAAGGTCAACCACGTATGATTCGTCAAAAAATAAAGCGAATGCACCATGGAAGACCTCTCTTCAAGCACCACCAAGTAGCTCTGGTAAGAAAAGCCCCACTTCTTCCTTAATGCTGGCACCACCTCCAGGATCTTCCCGTGGATGGTCTAACACACACAGCGTGAGGACCGGGACGCACACAGAGCATCAAGAAATTACGTGTTCTGCTGTCCAGCTGTAGTCAACAGCCCCTGCACTTACCCTGCAGAGGAGCTGATACCAAGGTCCTGCCCTGAAGTGGGGCTCCGCCCCAGGAAGCCCCCCAAGGGCGGGATTTGGTACTGAAAAATAGGTGAACCGTGTATGATTCGTCACAAGTAAAGCGAAGGCTACACGGATAACCTATCTTCAAGTCCCGCAGATTAGCACTGACCAGGTGCCAGTGTCTTGTCTTCAAAGCTGGCCTCCTCCTCCGGGAAGTCCCCCTAAGGACAGAGTGAGCATTGAATGTTAACAGATTGACAGAGAGGGGCATGAATGAAACACACACGCCCCCCTCCAAGTTCAACCGTCCCATCCTAGACCCTGAAGTAGTCCAGACGTCAACACCTTTGCCTGCCTGGCAAGATATCTAAGAAGCACTTTCAAGGGTATTGCATGTGGAGAGGTGAAGGGCATAAGAATTCATTATTTATCATAGCAGGGAACACTTCCTCATTTAACATGTGCATCAAAACGGACAACAGTGATCCTTTCCTCGCTTACACCTTATGTCCATGAAGCCCTCCAAGGCTAGAGTTCTTTCCAAAGAAGCTGACTTTGCAATACTGCTCATAAAGAAAATGACAGTGCGGAACACAAACCTTATTATACCAAGGTATGGCGCTGACCTCAGAACTGTGGCCTCATCTCCAAAGGTGGGCATAACTTCCAAGAAGTCTCCCTAAGGATAAATTGCATACTTAGGGTTAACAGTCCAGCAGACATAGGATGAGAAAACATCCTCTGTTGTTAAAAATGAATTCACATACCTAGCAAATGGTACAGGCTCCATGTCCATCCCAGAAGGTGGCGCTACAATGAGGCATCCTGCCGAGGGGGAAGATAATACTGAGAAGGGGGATCTGGGCACGACTCACGTTCAACAGACAAATGTAGAGTACAAATGACAACAGTGAGTCTTCCAGATAAGGATGGCACTGTGAGGCCAGATCACAGGTTTTTTCCTCCTCCAGTATCTAATGAAATAAACAACAAATGACCATTTATCCCAAGACAAGACCAACATATAGAATAGAAAAATAATCACAGAAATAACAGAAGACATCCTTGAAATGAAGAAACAATTAACCTGACTAATCAAGCAGGGATAGATAATATGATTCAGAAAAAGTGCTAAAGAAATGTAATGACTGAGTCAGATCCTGGTAAAGAGGTAACAGAGAACCCTTCTCCTCCACAGACTCAGAGAAATGATGGATAAAATGCAACCACAGCCGAAATCAATTGATAAATAAATGCACAGCTCAAAGGAGTGAAAGAAAGGGAAACCCTCAGCTGTCAGTGAAGAGAGCAACAAGTTTGCAACCTGCCACCAAGGGACCTAAGGGATGCTGCACTAGAGGCTTAGAGGGTCTGTAGTCTTCATGTCCAAGCAGGAACAGGACATGTGACATTGGGCCCAAGAGGGGTGGAGAACTGGAATGGAAAGGAAAGCCAGAAAACTCTATATTGGCCCAGAGAGATGACAAGAGAGTTTGTTTCCACCCAGGCTGTGGGTAGAATGAGTTTCCCTGTGAGAAACCAACCTCCTGGGCCAAGATGTGGTGAGGATTTATACCAGCCATAAGGTATGGGACTCCTTAGGCCAACAGATGAGTAGGAGAACTGGTCCCGACTGGTGAAAGCCTGATACCATACAGAACCAAATGTAGAACCATAATGTTGCAAAGGGAACAACAAAACACAAATATTAATTCCCCCGATGATAACCTCACAGCGAAAAGTTACAAAACCCATGAAGGAGAGTATTATTATGAGTCAATTGACTCAACGAAGAGTAGCTCTTATACCCCTAAAGCTGAGAGAAATTAACAACAAGTATTGTTAAAGTGACTAAAGAGAGTAAAAAGAACTAGAAATCATAGAGCCAGATAGAAGACTATGAAAAAAAAATAGATGAGTAAAAGTGTAAGAGCCATGGTCGGACATTCTCAGAGATGAAAGACCTCACAGAAGACAGTGCCCCAGAGTCTTTCCAACGAAGTATATGAAGATTCACTACATAATACAGTCCAGCTAAGCAAGAGGTATGTAGAGAAGCCACATGAAAAAAGCTAGTGAAATACTAAATGCAGAAGACAGCGGAGCAGCATCTACAAAGTTCCGAGGAAAAAAAAAAGTAGGCTGAGAATTTTATACCTAGCTAAATGTCCCTTGTGTATATAAACAAGAGGCAGATATCTCCAAATGTGTAAGGACTAAATAGTGTTTATGAGTCATTCTTGAAGAAACAATTATAAAATCCATTTTGATATATGAATTAAAATTAAAAATTCAGGAATAGAGAAGGTTTAGTTTAAGGGAAAAAACACTAGTGGTCAGTAATGAATCCATTTAAATACAGAACTATGATTAAACATCTATAAGAATTGTGGTTACAGAATACAGTGCAAATATTTATAATGAAAAAATTATATTGTACAGTATAACTGAAAAAAAAAAGCAGGAGGTGGAGCTGATTTCCTTATTTTTCAGAACCTCAAGTGAAATTAAAACAGTTAAAATACATAATGATCCCAACTACTTCATGTTTTACATAATAATTTTTCTTAATTTTATAGGGATCTTTTAGGAATAAGTACTTCTTTTGGAAGAGCAAGAAATATTTATCAGTTCTTCCAATTTTCTTCAGCTTATTATGTTAAATCCAAGTAAAATTATAGTTAATGTTTAAAAAAAAAGATTAGGTACAGCGCAATCCCATATTTGAAAAATATTTCTCTCTCACTTTGTCTGTCTACCTTTCTATCTGGATACACGCTCAGACAGGTATTTGGAAATTTCTAAAACCCTGATGGTTATTTCCGGGTGCTCAGAAATTGGGTAATTGTCTTTTACTTACGTTTTCCCACACTGCTTGAATTTTTATTTTAAGGTTATGTCATTTTTATACATATGGTAATAAAGTAAAATAATTATTCTTTTTTCAAAGAAAAACAAGAAATTGAAAATAGAGCTACCCTCCGTCCTCGACTTCAGTAGGGCTTTCCGGTCGACAGATATGGGGAATCATCCATTCACTTAGCCCAGAAAAAATGCTAACACTCACGGCCCCTTCCCTGACTTTGCCAACATGTCCCAGAGGTCCTCCCTCCAGGACAAGATATAATATTGAAAGATAAAGGAACTATCCATCGGGGTTTTTTTTTTAAGAAAAACAGCCCCCCGCCAGAAGCATCATGGGCTGGATGCCCCTATTACCCCAGTCCCTTGGGTCTTAAGCCTAAATCATATGCTTCTCCCCGCAAACTGGCAAGGTCATCCATAAATCAGCTGAACAACAGGAACACTAGTGGCACCTGTCTGCTAGCTCCAGGGCCAACCACACGTTCAAGTATACTGGCGTGGAGCCAATATGAGTGTGTCTTCCCCACAATCCCCATCAGCTCCAAGAAGACGCCTGGTGAGACGTGATACCGAAAAGAGATCGACCGTGTATTGGGCATCATTAAATAATGCGAACTCACCACGGACAACCTCCCTCCGAGTACCATGAGGCGGCACTGCTTGCAGCATCCCCGCATCCACACGGCCTGGGCAGCTTGGGAGTGGCCTCTGAGGGTGAACGGGACGGTGAGGATGAGTGGACCAACTGGGTCAATCCCCAAGTCAAACCCATGCCCCTGGTTCACCAACCCAGGATTTGTGTGGGCAGCAGTGCCACTTCCTGTACTTTGCTGGTCATGCAAGTGACACTCAGTAATGCAAAGAAGTCAGCCCCACGTGAGTCATCACCAGTGAAGCCACGAGCTCTTGAAAGACCACACGTTTGCAAGAGCAGGGAGGCGCCTCCCTCCTTGGTAAACCTGGCCTCACCCTAGAGGAGGTCCCTGGAAGGTGTGAGCCTCTGGAGAGTTAGTAAACCAGGGGTCACACGGGTCCCGTCCCCTCTTCTCTCCTATATCCCGAGAGCTGACTGATAAAAGATGCTTCTAGATGCCTCTTCGAGGTTGGATTCCATAATTTTAAAAAGTCAGCCACATGTATTTCAGTGTTAATTTTTTTACAGTTAGGGCACTCTCACAGCCTCGCTAGCCTGTCCTAAGGTTGGCAGTGCCCCAGGAATTTGCCTCAGGGTCAGTGTGGACACTGGGGTGAGCGTCAGTAGCAGGCATCCTCAGGAAAGCACTTGTGGGCTCAGCCGTCCTGGCACCTACCTTGAAAGCAGCACTGGCCCGGGAAGCCCTCCGAGGCAGAATTTGACACTAAAAGAGAGGAGAGCCGTGTATGACTCGCTTTGATGAATCGAATTCATCACGGCCAGCCTCTCTTCAAGTACCATAAGTGAACACTTGTGAGAAATCCACTGCCTGTCCTGCCAAGATGGCTGCCCTGTAAGGAAGCAGTGGAACAACCTTGGGTAGTGGGCCGAGTGACATGCGAGCACATTCATTGCATGCTCACCCGAGACGCACTTACCCTAAGTGGGGGCGGCTCTCTCTACAGTCCTCCTGGACCAGAAGGGCTGCATCCCACAGTCATCACCATGTCAGCACACTGCGGTGGTCCCTTGGCTCCTGTGATGGAGCCACACTGACCCGAGAACCGTGGCTACTTCCCCGGGCAGGCATCACCAGGGAACCTCCTGTGGAGAGACGGGAAGCCAGGGGTTAGAGTATCGGGTACCAGATCTAAAAACAAGCATGTACTGTGTGAACAGTCACACACCCCCGAGAGGAGCTGGCCGCTGGCTTCAGGTCCCTCAATGGAAGACAACGCTGTGTCCCAGGAGCGCTTCAAGGAGGCTGTGGCAATGACAGCGATGCCACTACCAAGGGTGACTCATCACGTTTTAAGTCCACACGCCCTCCCGACCATGGTTGTCCACAGGGCGGCCACCGTCGCAAGTCCATTGCTGCTTCCCAAAGTTGGCAGGACTCCCTCCAAGTCTTCCGGGTGGGTGGGGTTGGTGCTGAGGGTCGGTGACTAGGTGGCCCAGAGGGTGAACAGAGTGCTTGCCCCTCTGGTCAACCAGTCACACACCCTGAACTGTCCTGACACCAGCATCTCTTCTGGAAGTTAGCCTTGGACCCAGGAAGCCTCTCTTCAAAGTCTTGTAAGGTGACACTGGTGACAGAACCACAGCCGTTTCCCCAGAGTTGGCATGGCCCTTAGGAAGGCCTCCTACAGATGGAGGACGCTCAGGTTAGTGGACCAGATGACTTACAGCTAGGACAAGCCTGTGGCCCTGGCCAGCCAGCCATTCTCGTCTTCTGGAGAACACGAAGACTTCTCTCCCGAAGTGGCCGTCATGTCTGGGGAGTCCTTAGTGGTAGTATTTGGTACTGAAAAAAGTGTTGTCCGTGAATGATTCGTCATAAGTAAAGCGAATCCACCACGAACAACTTCTCTTCAAGTACCACAGAAAAGCAGAGACAAGACAGACAAGGGGTCCCCTTCCACGTCTCTGAGGGGTGCGGCCTCCAGCCGCCGTCCTGTGGGCAGACTGGACATCGAGTGTTAGTGTGATGGACAACGTGCATCCCGAGGACACGCCGGGACTCAGCGGGGCTGGCCACTCACCTCCCCGAGGCTGAATGCCCTGCCCCTTCCCTGGAGCGGCAATTGCATTCCTGAGTCCTCAGGGTCAGGGCTTGGAAACGAGAAGACAGGGGCTTCACAGTGGTACCTCGTCCCAGCTCGGGACTCTCCACATGGGTGTGGACCCTGGGCTTTCGGAATGGGGACCTTGGACTTCTCAACAGAGCACTCTCGGTTCTCCACCAAGCACATCGAGGCATTGGTCAAGCTCCTTGGTGGGACTTGTGGGATCTACCAGACTAGGGGAGTTCCAGAAAGAGCCCACAGCCACCACAGGGTGCCCTGGAGAGTCTGGCCAGCCCAGGCCCCGAGGCACCCTCAGCAGGATCTGAGGGAGGCTCACCAAGCTCTTCATGATCCCGGGAGACCCCCACTCCCTTCCCACCCCTCCACTGCACCACCCATCTCACCCCAATGAACCACTCAGGAAAGCAATTCCAAGAAGGTTGACATCAAAGGTCCCCATCTTCTCCCCAACAGCCTCAGACCAGTAGGACCAGTTCCCATTTCCCAAATTCACCACCCAGTCCTCACGCCCCACAGCTCTTCCACATCTGGAACCATGGCCCATCACCGTGCCCTCACTTCTCCAACATGATTCGCCGTCCACCCACCAAGGGCCATCTGTCCCCCCATCTCCTACACCAAAGGCTTGCAGTGGGTACATGGCATCCTGGTTCTATATCACCTACAGACCATCTTTCTTCTCTTTTCCTTTTAAAATTCCAGTTCATTCATAGCATATTCATCAGACCTCACTGCCCACTACCTGGACAACTGCCACTCAGGTCCTCCTTCTGGGTCACCATCTTCCTCCTGGAAAACCTCCCGATTTCCCTTGTGGTAACGACCACATAGCAACGCTGTCCCCAGCTCCCCAGCACTGGCGGGGGGGGGGGGGGCTGCCTCACCTCCAGTTACCACTGCCTCCATCCCACCCTGCCGTCCAGCCCCACGGTCGCTGCCTCAGCTTGGATCTTGGCAATACTGGTAGTGACACTTCTCCCAAAGCTCCTGGCTACCCACTGACTCACTCCAGAGCCCTGACTCAGCAGTGATCACACCTGTAGAACCCCTGGTTCATCGCCTGCCTCCACCTTCGCACTCGTGACCCTGGCTGGGCTCATCCAACCCATCCCGGGATCTACCGGCTCCACCTTTGGGACATCTCATGTTCTCTGTGTCTCCCACCTCCGTGGGGGCACCCCCCTAGATCTATCTACACAATAGCCGTCCACATGGGTTCTCTATCGCCACCCTTGTGGTCAGAGTGACCATTTCAACATAGACCACACCTCCCTCCCTGCTCAGAACCCGCCCATGGCTTCCATCACGTTCAGAATAAAATCCAAAGGTGCCCAAGCCTCTGAGGCTGCCCCTCTCACCCCACAGCTCAGTCCAGCCCCACATTCCTTCTCACTTTTTCTCAAAGATGCCAGAGGGCTTTGAAGTGCCACACCCTCCTTCTGAAACGCTCCGACCCCAAGTTCTCCATCTGACCCACCCCCACTTCATTCCCATTTCCCCTCCCCAGAGAGAGCTTTCCAGGCCCTGTATTTAAAATAAATGTCCACTCTACCTGGGCTTCTTTCTCGCACCTTATCCTGCTTTCCTTTCCTTCATAAAACTTAACAGTGGACAAAATTATGGTTGTCAAACCACGTGAACAAGGACTTTACCTTGTTCACTGCTCTACCCCCAGCTTAGAGGAAACAACTAAGGTCTAGAATCATCTAGAAGACAGTAAGGCACTCAATCATGATTTTTGGAATGATTGAATCATTTCTCATTCATTGATCAACTCACGGACAATTCATTAGCTATGTGGTTATGCTATTAACAAGAGAATCTGACAATATAAAGAAAGAGCCCTATTGAAAAAGCATCACGGCCAAGGCAGACATCCCTTCCCCAAAGTAATTCTCCGATGGGCTGAGTCTTGCGGGAGAGGAAACCAAGTGTGACTCACCGGAGACAAAGATCAGACTCTGCTCAACTCACGGTCCGTGTGCACTGGAAAGATGCGATGCCAACACGTCTCCCGGAGGTTGGCACTGCTTCCAGAAAGCCTTCCTGGGCAAGAGCTGACCATCAAAAAGTCTTTCCTGGAACAAACACCATGAAGATGACCAATTAGGTTATCTGACAGTATCACCGCCACATCCTCATGTTGCATGGTCTCCAGGGATTCATTTTACGGAAGGTCTGGGTTCCCTTGGGACAGCTGGCAGGTGTTCTGGGTGAATGGGATTCTCAGGGGTCAACATCTTAGGATGGCTTGGTGCAGATTCCAGCATCCCTTCCAGAAGATTGCAGCCCTCCTAGGCAGCCACCTTCTGCATAAATTAGATTCCGGTCACGGGTGCGACAAGTGACAGACATCCTAAAGGACGCCTGTGCACTGTGATCCACCATCCACGTACATACCTTGGGTGGGTACAAAAACCAAGACCTCCTCCCTGCAGGCGGAATGCTGTCCGGGAAGCCCTCCAGAGCAGTATTTGATACTGAAAAACTGGATGTCCCTGTATGATTCGTCATAAATACAGCGAACACAGCAGGGATAACCACTCTTCAAGTACCGAAGGCTAACGCTAATGAACCATGTCTTCACCAGAGTCGGCCTTCCCTCCAGCTAGTCCTCCTAAGGATGAATTGGGGACCGAGGGTTATAGGAGGATCAGGTGTGGCCCGTTGTAAATAAAGCCCACTGGCCAACCATGCGTGTAAATGCTCTCTGGCCAACCATGCATTCCTGTCCCCTGGGGAGGGGCTGAGGCCAACAGCTCTTCCCAGGAAGCTTCCCAGGCAAGATCAATACTGAAAAACACAAACCTTCCCTTCTATGACTCAGCATAAATAGAGCCAACCGGCAAGGAGAAGGTCTTTTCAAGGGCCAGGTACAAGCATGGAGAAGGAACCAGCGCCTCTTCTTCCAGAGTCTGTCCCAAGAAGTGACTGGATAGGTAGGGACTGTGGATCAGTTGACATACATCATTGATAAAATGTATGTTCTCTGATCAACCATCCATTCCCCTATCATGGACCACGCCCTGCCCTCGGGTTGGAGTCCTGTGGGAGCACATCTCCAGGTGGGAGCTTGTCCTGAAACACAGCAGCTCAGATGTGATTAGCCATACGCACGGTGATGCCCCAACAGCCAACCCTGCTGCCGCTCAGCCCTGGAGGCTAAGTTTTCAAGGCCTCGATGCTGCAGCTGGGGGACTAGGTGGCTTCATCCTAATGAAGGCCCAGGGTCTGCGATGGGCCATTCTTTCAAGTGTTGGGGGGAGGCACTTCCTTCCTGAAGATGGAATTAGGTCCAGGAAGGATGTAACACGGCACTACACTTATAACGGAACAAGCATTGGGGAGCGACCCTGCCATGGACCACACCTGATCAGGTGTGGTGGAGGAGAAGCCCCCCTCTCCCACGGGCTTCTCCTGTATGCAGACTAGATGCTGAGGGTCAGGGGTCACATGAGCCCTCCTTAGACTTTGGATTGGCACCGAGAGCAATAACCTTTCCCTGGAACAGAGGTACCTTCCAGGAGGTCGTCCTGGGCTGAGTGGGATAACCAGAGCAGAAAGACCGGTCACACAGCCGTAAATACAGTGCTCTCCAGACCAAAAGCCTCTTCAAGGGAGATGTAGTGAACCTGAGTGCTGAAACAGCCTGGCCCCTGAGGTCCCCTGTGGATGACTGTGTTCTGAGGGCCCGGGGGTCCTCACAGCCCACCCTCCACCCGTGGACCTGCGGAGGGGACGGCCATAGATCCCCGCCCTACAAGTGGGATACCACCACTCAATCTTCCATGGTGCCAGAATCTCGGCCACGAACGACGGATGAGCACCCCAACGGTCCCTCGTGCTCACACTGACAAGAACACCGGCGTCTCGCCTCCAAAGCTTGGGTCACTTCTGGGGTGTCACCTGAGGATGGAAGGCATTCTCTGGGTTCGTGCACTGAGGACACGTGCCTCCATCCAGGGCATGCCCTGGGGTCAACTTTGCAGTCACGTACCTTAGGGGGAGGTGGACAGTTCTCTTACTGTGAAGCTGGCATCCCCAGTGGGCGTCCATCCTGAACTGATGCCATGAAAGGACTCCACTGTGCCGGCCGCCACAAAACCAATAAAGCCAGGAAGACGGGAGCAGCGGGGCTTTGCAGCAGCCCCGGGATGTCCATACAGTCAAGATCCCAGAGGTAGTGGGGCACAGAAGCCACCATTCTCCACCAAACGGGATCTGGGCCAGCCTCCCGCCCCCATAAGCAGGGGAGATCCAGTCCCAGGGGGTGCACTGCATGCGAGCAGCACCCTGAGGCAGGGCTGCAGAGGCATCAGCCGGCCTGTTCTCCTCCTGAGTGAGGCAAGGGGATGCGGCCCCAAGCCAGTCTCTTTAAGTGCCACGCGGAGGGACAGGAACGCTGCTGGGTCTGCCGGCAGTGCCTCGGAGAAATCTACCTGGAGAGCAAGTGGACACGGGGGTCAGTGACCTTGGAGGGAAACAGGGAGGCGAGCAGAGGATGGCCTGCCTTTCACACACCTGGAGAGACAGATGGTGGCCCTGCTTCTGGGGAGCTGTCCTGGGTGGGACTTGACCCTCGAAAACAGATTGCCCTCAGAGGAATCTTCGCGAACGAAGTGACCTCTTCTTCAAGGTCCCAAGGGAGCAGAAACCACATCCTCTCCACCTGGGCCGGCATAGCCTCTAGGAAGCCACCCTGCAAAGGACGGGGTCTGGAGGATCAGGGCCGGGGAGAGCTCTCACTCCCTGAGGGAGGCTCAGCCGTCAGGCACCACGGACTGGCCCTGCAGTGACGTGGACTCAGCGGTCCCGTCCCTGGAGGTGACCCTGCATCACACCCTCACCCCAAGGCAGGTTGGGCTGAAAGCCTGGGTGACTCTGTCCAAATCATAAAAACACATCAAGTTCACTGCAAAACCACTGCAAAGCAACCCCGGGCGCCTCCCACGGCCAGCCTCCCTTCCAGGAAGCATGCCTTCCACAGCTCAGCCAGGCCCCGGGCCGACAGCTCACACCAGGCACACGCTCTCACGTCTCCTGTGCGGGCGGCCCTCGAGGCAGAGTTTGATATTCAAAAAGAGGTTAACCATGTATTATTCATGATGAACCAAGCGAACATAACACGGATAACCTCTCCTCAAATATCCCTGAATAGTTCTGAAACGAAAACCATGGCCTCTTCCCCACCGTCGGTCGTCTTTGCCTCCGGAAGATCCTTCTCAGGATCAGCTGAAGCCCAAGGGTCAGGGAGCCGGGAGCTCAGATCCTGTAAAGAAAGCCCACGTGCCGTCATCAATCCTCCATCCCCGTACCTGGGTCCTGGGCCCCAACACCAAAGTCCAAACCCCAGAGTTGGAACCACGGTCAGAAAGACATCCAAAGCAGGTTCTGTCCTGAAAACAACAACAAAATCTTCTCCAGGGATTCCTGAGAGGTGGGATTTGACGACAAGAAGAAACGAGGAGATGAATGCGTCACAGATAATGCAAAGCCATCATGATGATACCTTTTCTGATAAAACGGAGTGCATCATGGATCCCCAAGATAGGGGCTCCCCAAAAGATGGCCTCGGTCCCAGGAATGCTGCTTTGGACTGACTGGAAACGGACAACCCCAGAATCTGATGGCCCCAGTCATCAACACGGCTGTTGGCCTGGTGCCTGACGAGTCTTGACACTGGTGGCCTCTCCCCGACGCGGGTCTTGTATCCGGAAAGCCCTCTGAGGCAGGATTTGATTCTAAGGAAGAGTAATCTCATGACATTTATGCATAAGAGAGCCCTTCGTATAGAGCCATTGTTCACAAACCGAAGAGCAACGCGTTGACCTGGGGAGTGCTCTCATGATG